GAGGGGGCACGGCCAGGACAGCTGACCCAAACTGGCCAAAGGGATATTCCATACCATGTGACGTCATGCTCAGTATATAAAGCTGGGGGAAGAAGAAGGAAGGGGGGGATGTTTGGAGTGATGGTGTTTGTCTTCCCAAGTAACCGTTACGCGTGATGGAGCCCTGCTTTCCTGGAGATGGCTGAACACCTGCCTGCCGATGGGAAGGAGTGAATGAATTCCTTGTTTTGCTTTGCTTGCGTGTGCAGCTTTTGCTTTACCTGTTAAACTGTCTTCATCTCAACCCAAGAGTTTTCTCACTTTTACCCTTCCGACATCCCCCTGGGGGGGAGTGAGCGAGTGGCTGTGTGGTGCTTAGTTTCCGGCTGAGGTTAAACCACGACAACTGCCAACTACAAGACCAGAATTACAGATTGAGGACACCTAGATTTACAGATTGAGTAGCACAGCACAGGAAAAACAAGACCCCTTGGTAGAAGTGAATAGCCAGCTGAATGGCTTCTCAATGTGGTCTGTGGCCAAAGCCAGGAGAGTTCTCACATCCCCTCTCAAAAGGTTTGTGTATAATGATTGAGATAGCTGTGATAAGACTAAGGAGGTAATTAGTATTTCTCACTGTATGTATCAGCCTAATCACTAATGCATTCCCTCCCCTTTCTCTTTCAAACTCCTTGTTCTCTTACAGTAAACGGAAAGCACTCTGGACAGATAGCATGTCCAATTCTGCTTGTACAATGGATTGCTCAAAGAGGACAAAGTATGCAGAAATATCCTGTGTACAAATGCCACCAAGCGGAGAGAGACAGTGCACTTGTGCAGTGCTGGAAGAAAAATACCCTGTACATTCTCTGCAAGGTTTCTGTGTTGGAAATGTAAGTGAACTGTTCCTTTTTGGATCCCACAAAGAAGCACTGGTTAAATTAATGTTGAGACTTTGCATGACTCCTGCTATTGAAATTAAAAACAACTCAGCTTCTCTGCACTGCTAAATATCCTGACACCTCTAGGGATCAAATCTGTCACTTAGAATATGTCTATAGCATATCTAACAGAATGAAATTAAACTTGACTGACTACAGCAATATAAACACATAATAGTAAGAGAATTCAAAACAAGCAGCCTGTTAGAAACATCTCAAGATTTACACTTTTATGCTCAAAACGGATTTTTTTTCCAAAACATAAGGACTATAAATACTACTATTAGTGTTTATGTTAGGAGGTCTCCAAATACTTTGCAAAGGAGACACAGTTCTCCAAATATAACATGCTAGCCAAAAACATGCTAACCAAGTCACAGAGATGGAACAATCCCAAGCTAAATCAGAACAGCTGCCAATTATATGGCAGGTAGAACTGGCCTCATCCTCAGTCTTTAGAGTAATGCATTCACCTGTGTCCCACTATCAATTTTTATTGAAAGCATCTGCAAGCTCTCACTACAACACTCTATTGTCCAAGAAAAAGACAAGTGTTGTTAAAAACAAAACAGTATCCTCAAAGTTTGCCCCTCTGGGGATTTTTCAATATACTGTTACCTATATTATTGTCTAAAACATAGGGTATTCCTTTTGCAGTTCTCGTTAAATCCAAGGAAAAAAGGATATCCACCTATCTTTGATTTTCTGGACTAGAAAATGTATCTGCCTTGTATGTACTCTGGGTCCTGTTTGCATACATGCTGTAATCCTAACACATGTTCTTATTTCATTTTATAAGGATCAGTGGAAGAGTTTGTATCCACTGGCTTCTTTACTGCTCCATAAAGCATGCCTCTTCTGTAATCAAAATTTATGATAAAAATGAAATGAGCCTAAGGAGACTAATTCATACCTCCTTCCTCCATATCCCACATCCACTCCATCCTGCATTAAGGAGTCTGTATTTGACATTGCAAAAAAAGGTTTTAGATTATTTTCTTAACAGACTGCTCTGCACGCAGCTTGCTGCTTTTTAGGGTCACAGTCCTGTTTTAAAATAATGGAAAATCAGTAGCAATGTGACAGCAGTGAACAATGCACCAGATCTAGTTTGGCAACACACTAGAACACATTAGTGGTGGGCAACACTATCTCAGCTTTTGGACATACAGATACCAAATATATATCATAACACAAGCATCCCAAACATTTTCAGAGCATCTCTGCCTTTCAGCTTTTGCTAACCGCTTTCTTGCTAGGTGATCTGACTGCTCTTGAGCCAGAACTTGACTTACGGGACTTTACCTCAATGGAAAATCTGGAGTGCTGAGTGACACACATACCCTTTTCTTCTCTTCTGCTCTCCCTACAAGACTTACTCCCCTTCCAGGGCTACATAAAAGCAGCGGTAGCGCTGCTCCGTATCCACATCAGCTTTTCCTGCACCCTACCTACCCAGCACACCAAGGCACAGTCACAATGAAGCTGCAGGGTCTCTCTCCCCAGTGGCAGCAGGGAGAGGCACAGCATGGCCAGGTGGCATAGAGCAGCTGAACCTAGTTAGGATTATCCAAGGAGGACAGAAGACAGTATCATTAGGGTACTGTGCCTAATAACTTTGATGTCACACACATTTACCTCATTAATCAGTGCATATACTTAATTTAACTGTAGTGCATAACACAGATCTACTGCAGCTGGCGCTAAGCCACGGCAGCATTCATCAGAGTATTGGCAGGAAAGGACTTCTTCTGTGCAGAGTGGACTAACACCAACACCAGATGAGGTCAGCCACAGCTTTACCTGGCCAAGCTCAAAAGCCCCTATGGATGAAACACCATGGCCTTGCCAGATAACTTGTTCCAGTGCTGCACCAAAGAAGTTACTAGCCTGTACTAATGCACAGGGCTATTCTACATGTTGTGTCCCCCCCCCGCAACTTCTCGTCATTGAAGTTCATGAGTTTTCTGTTAGTCTGATTGTTAAGTTTCTCGAAGTCTCTCTGAACTGAAGTTCTACCTGTAGGCCTGTCATCTTCTCCGGCTAAATTGTACTGTCCACAAATTGGACATCTCATCACAACAGACCCAGCATAACCCTCCCTAGAAAACAGGGACTCCACTGGAAACCACTGTGTGTGTTTGTTTAGTGGGGACTTAGTACAGAGTAAAATCATTAGGAGGAAGAGATGATAACTTTTCCAAGGCCCTGGCAATTGAATTCATCCTAAGTTTAGCACTCTCAGTGACAGCGAGGAGAGAGGCAGGAACAAAACAAGATCCTCTCAGGTACTGAGAAATAATAATTTTGTTTCTTGCCTCTCTAAACATAGCTGGTTTAGCTTTTTCGCTACTGGAAAAATCTTTTAGTGTCCTTAAAGAGCATGGGCTTACCCCTGTGCACTGAATTTTGCCCTGTCTCAGAAGCTGCAACAATTCTACAATTAACAATTCTACAATCCTGCAATCTGTAATCAGTAAGTTTGAATGTTAACTACTCAGAATACAAGTAATCATGAAGAAGGCATCTGATTTGGATGGATTTCTTCAGTAACAAAATGCAGTAATATTTATTTTGCCATATATGCACAGCACGGAGGAACTCAGCAAAAAACTATGCGCATGGAATCCCGGGGCGGTTTCTAATCAGCTACCGAAAGGTGCAGACGAGACTAATTGCTGTTTCCATCACGCCTGTAGTTCCGCTTTCATGGTGATGTCCCCAGGAATGAGCCAAATGCTGATTCAATGAGAGCGTAGCACCACCTGCTGCCGAAGACAAGGCTTCAGAAGGGAGGAAAAGTTTTTGCCATCTTTCCCTGTAATAGTGCTAGGTTTAACTAAGGGGGAAAAAAAAAAGAAAAAAAGAAAAAAAAATTACCTCTCTGTATAGACCTCATCCTCTTTGATTATTAAAGAAGTCTCCAACATATAAAACTCGCAAGGGTTCTGCACCTCGGCTGTTGTGTGGAGACTCCTACTATGTGTTTCTGGGCCATTTCAATTACTCTATCACGTTCATATTCAGTGCTGACAAGGTGCTTCTCTAGAAAACATCCCTTTTAGAGCTTGTACACACAGGCTTTTAGTCTAGTATAAAGCAAGAGATGTAGAAGGATCTGTCTCTTCAATGTGTAATTTATTACAATGATGCAACAGATAAGTGACTAAGATGCTCTGACGGTAATATAACCTCAAACAAATGTACAGCAGTTATGTTTGTGTGGGTCTGCCTTTAGTTCGTGATACATTAGCAGGTGCCTTCCTGTACCGCACCTCTTCCTGATTCACCAGCCTGCTCATGTGGATGTGCTCTGCTCTCTTGACATCTTAGAAGCCTGATGTCATCTCTCTGAAAAAATGCTGCTTGTGCAGCCAGGCTTGGTCCACTTCCAGGAGATAGAGCAGCTAACTAGCAAACTATGTACCTGGTGTATGTGCTATGCTGCCTTGTCATGTTATCAGCTGGAGCTATGCTGGGATCCTGGATTTTATTTCCCCCAGGAAGCAGCAAAGAGGCAGGATGCCCTGAATGCTTAACATCAGAAAACTTTTGAGGAAATGAGTGTCTTGCACTGCTATCGTAGCTATCTTGCACAGACAAACTACTGGTCCTGTCTGAGTCCCCTCTCCCCATCTGAGTTGCACCCTCTCTCTATATGTACAAAGAAGCTCTAAGATGATTAGAAATTTGAAGTTTTTCACTAAAAGACCTTTTATTAGCACATAGTTCCATGACTGAGGGAATGCAGTTGCAGGAAGCCAGACAGATAAGGGGTGGGAGACTATAGTGCATAATTGTGAGGAAGCCTGCCCAGAAGAAAGTCAAGAAGAACAACTGGAGCTGTTTTTAAGGACAACTTTATTTAGCAGGAGGCCAGAACTACTTGAATGTTTGGGCTGTAGTGGTAAAAGTCTGGAGATCGTCAAGGAAGTGGTCCTAGACGCATAAGAAATTCTCCTTCTGCTTGAATACTCCTTATTCCTCCATGCTCAAAATAGTGACTCATTTGCTCACTACCTCACTTCTAATCAAGGACAGCTCTACCATGTCCTACCCTGCCAAACTGTGTGTGCAGTGATGGACAGTGGTCTGAGAAACCAGCAGGTAATGATCAGGCACAAATCATCACTCAAAACAGACTGTACAAGAGCCCTTACTCGCTTCAGCCTTTTCGCCCTTCTGATACCTCATTGCAATCGCTGCAGATCAAAGAACCAGTGCTGATGAAACTAAAGACCCTGGAGCAATCTATCTGGGAGCAGCAGTTCTCGAACAGAGTAGGAGACTCCATCAGTCTGAAGTCCCCAAACCCGGAGTCAGCACCACTCCAGACCTCAGAATTCCCAGAGAGCTGTGAAGCAAAAAAGACAAATCCACAAAAGACCGTGAGGAGTTTTATAGCCAGCCAGTAGACTAGAACATTTCTGCATCTGGCATATGCTGGCGCTTTCTCCCAACATGTTTTTCACACCTTCTAGAGGCTTAAATACCGAAGCCACAGACTTGACTCAGTACCAGAATAATTCAAATTTTCTTGTATTCAAACAACATAGCAAATGCTGAAACACTAATCAGAGAGTAACACACAGTGAGGCTGGCAGCCTGAACCACAATTCCCTTTACAAAACAATATGCGTATATTATATATGCTGTGTCCAGTTTGCTTTGTAGCTGCTTCACATACTTAGACTAATCATGCATCTGGCATGTGCATCCATTCACAAACTGTCCTTGCTATTGTTTGAAGCAATTTTGGCCTGTGAGCTTGCTTCAAGTTACATCAGTTAAACATCCTGTTGTGGTTAGTTCTCATCCCTAATTACTTATGTATGTCAACATCAGTACCAGCATTCTCAGTGTATAGCTCACACACAGCTCATGTATAATATTCTTCCATTTTGAAATTCTCCTCGCCCAACAAACATACTTGAAGTGAGCCGGTCCTAAGCCCATAATTTAAGCACTCTGTAGTCACACACAGGATTTCTAGGCTGTTGGGTGTTTCCAACCTTCTAGATCTAATAGGTCCTGGATCCCTGATATATAAAGGATGTCCTTAAAAATAAATCTGTACAAAATGGCCAGGATAAAAGAGAAGATACATCTGGCAAAATCTGGACATACAATCACCATACAGAAGACCATGTATAAGCTAGGTTAGGAATTTACAGTGCAGCAAGTGACTCCCTGCTAGAAGTTTATTCCATTTCCAAACTGCAGAATCTTAACAACATTCCCCTATAGGAAATTAATCTGAGCAGCTACTTGTAGTATGAAATTACCATCCTAACTTACTCAGTCACAACACCTCCTTGTAGGCACACCCTTCAGCTGAGGCACCCTATGCCTTTTACCTAGAGAGTAAGCTACTGCATGTAAAGATTCAGATTCGTCTACGAAGGATATGTACTACCATTGTAAAGGATATGTTCTGCTACTCACGTAGTGGAACAGCTGAACTGCTTACAACCCCGGTGAAAACATTTACCTGTAATTTAAGTCAGTTTCACTTAACTTAGGAATTCAGCTTAGCTTGGAAATGCAGCAAGTAAAATACCACCTGGTTTCCAAATAATGGGAAAAGTCACACTTCCTGCTAACTGTGGTAAATTTCTTTCAAAAATTAATGGATGGGCCTTTAACATACTCTAAAAATGTCTTCAGGAGACACCAATGTGGAATTCCCAGTCTGGTGTCAATTCACACCCTAGTTTACTGGGCAGTAACATCCCCATATGTTGACCAGACTACAGTGGCCACAGAATATTACTTGGTGATAAGTCATCACTATTTCCGCTCTGCTGCTTTGTTATTTCTGAAGTAAGAAGGGGAGTCAACTGCAGACACTATATGGTAAATTTCTTTGCACACCTGGAAACACTGCTGAGAGATCTCCAATCACTTTGAAGTGACTGCTGTAGCCACAGCAGAATTGGAAGAACTGAGAGTCACCTTTACCACTTCCTCCTATAAAAGATACTGCTGTCCAGCCCTCTTCCACCATTTTGGTTAGCAAGATGAATGTTTGAAATTCCTTAATGTCCAAAATTGCTTTTGTTTTTTCTTCTATTTAACACAGGGATGTGTGTGTGAATGAATCTGTACAATTCTGTTGTAGGAGTCAAGCTCAGCTATATTCATATCATATTTTATTTTTCACTGTAGCATTTTTTTTCCCCTTTTTCAGACCCCCCAGAAGAAAGGGTTAGATTATAACTAATTGACACGTAACTTTTACCTTAGAGAATGGAAAAGCCATGTCTGATAGAACCAGGGGATGCAGGTTCCTTATCTGAAAAATGATTCATGTTTGCACTTCTGAGTTTTTAAAAATTTCCACAAAAATGCAAAATAGTACTTCTAGTACTCATTTTCTAAGTATGTGTAAGCAATAAAGTTGTGTAAGTCCTTACAGGCATAGATAAGAGTACATTCCTGTTCTACACAGTTTACAATCTAAGCAAAAAGTCTACAATAAGAGAGGATCAAAATCCATTCCTCTCAGGAGCACAACATCAAACTTACAGAACAGGCTAAAGATAAAGCATGATAGTTTTCCACATCCAAGACTTTGAGTTGATACTGGAGCACAGTGATCTTTGAGAAATACCCTCATTGCTTTCCCAGGTTGTCCTATGAATTAGAGGTATAAAGTCATAAACAATTCACAGATATTTTAAAACAGTATGTTAATCATAGTAGAGTCTGGAAGCATAACCATATCTGTTATCATTAAAGTCTTAGCTATCACTTGATGTATCAGCCTACCTACAAATTTCAAAAAGAAAACCAAACAAAATAGAACGATTCTCCCCCAAATTGTGACAGTTCTTTAATCCACTATAATGAGTATCTAAAATAAGGTGTACCTCTTACACGAAATCTACTTCCATTGTCAAAACCTCCTTACACAAATGAGGTTAAAATGTCTCAGCTGAGGTGTTTTCTCCATCACTGTTCCCAACTGTTTTGGCCCCATTTCCTTATTTCTACAGATAGCTGCAAAAGATTCCTTCCTGGAAGCAGACCTCTGCTTCACCCACATTCATTCCATTTACTACGTCTATCTTGCCTCTCTCCTCCACTGCCAACATCCATATCCGATTCTCTAAAAAAGGCAAGTTAGAGACAACCAGTAATTTGGTAAAAGACAGAAAAGTTACTCAAGAATTAAATCCCACAGTGCATATTCTGCAATGACCATGCCACATCTTGCTACTTACATGTTCTACTAATAACTTCCACTAAGAAAGCCCTTCTCTCCCAGACCCCTCCCCACAGATTAATAGGGAATAACACACCACATAAAATACCTTCTATTAGCGTCCTATCGACCCGAGAACATAAGGAACCATTTGTTCTGCCAGTGCATGTGGATGTGTTTCCATCACTGACACCAGGGTTTGTCATTCACGCAGCAGAGAGGGCATACCATGTTTGTTTGGGAAGGGGGAAATGGGAAGAAGCTCTTTGGGTAGTCGGGGTGTGGTTATGAGGTTCGTAAGAGACAAGGTAACTAAAACATGCTGTCTGGCCAGGAGGCCTGTCATTTCCTTTGCTTTAATAATAATTTAAGTGTGGCTATTTCCCCTGTACCCTTCTGAATAAAGATTTTGTTTGGGGGATTAATTAATCTAAAGGAAGTTGCTTCATATCTACAACTGATTTATGCCATGCACATATTTTCTTTCTGCCTTGTTAGCTATCTTTAAGGAACTGAAAGCATCAACTCCGTGTGCTTGGAATCCATTCAATCTTCCAGATCTTGTGTTCATTCCCTGCCGAGGAAGTACAGAGGAAAAGCACTGACACTCAGCTTGTTGCTGGATAACCTCAGACTCCATTCCACATCTCTGCAGTACTAGCCTAGTCTCTTTATTGTTTTTAAATTTCCCCTTGATATGCTCCTTGAATTGACTAAGGCTTTTTTTTTTTTTTTTTTAAAGAGCATGAATCATGCTGATGTCTTCTCTCTTTGTGCAGATGCTGGAAACAATTACAGTCCCAGCTCTGCAGTTTAATCAGTCTGCTATGCTCAGTGGAAACCCCACTGAAATCAGCAGGCCTCTGAAGACACTGACGTACTGGAGGACTGCAGCCTGCCATCAAATACTCTTCAATTCTACGGCTCTGTCCTTATCCTCTACTTCTTCCCTGTGAGCTTAGAACCAGTCCCCAGATGCAATATAGAACTGAGTTCTATTACAGCACTTCAAACATAATAGTGTCTAAAAATACCAATGCAAACTCATGTTGCTTGTGGTTATTAAAGACACTACAGTCGGGTTTCCTCAGAAAACGAGGATAGTATGTTCATATCTGCCTGCTCCACCCTTCCACCCAATGACTTTTAAATCCTAGTGGCCAATTTCAAGCAAAACTGGCAGAGAGGTAGATGTCTCAGAGATACTAAGTTCCTACAAGTTTGTCCAATATAGAAATGAGTAAAAGAAAGAAACTGTATTCATGGTCTTACACAAGGAAAGACTACCTGCTCTCTTTATTGATCATCAGAAAATCTACCCAGAGAAAAAAAAAAAAAAGCAAAATTTATTTAATTAGTTTTCTGTGCACAGAATAGCCTATTTAAAGAGTAACAATAATAAATAAATAGGTGAATGTTTATTAGGTGACTAATAAATAGGTGTACTTAATTGGTATAGAACAGCCTTGCTCTACGGAAGCTACAATCACTGAAAACAGAACTGAAAGCAAAAATGCTCAGTGTGTCTATAGCCACCAGCCCTTTGGGATGACCAGGTAGGTTAGCACTTACCTGTAAACAGCAGACTTAGTTTAGTATGTTACAGCCCCCCAGCAACTTCGGCTACTCATCCTTGCCCTCTACTTCCCCAACAGAGTTTACTGATCTCTCAGTTGTGCCAAAGAAACCTATGAAATAATGCAGATTTTCTAAATATGCCTAAAAAGATGAACAGAGGTAGACAACGTGAACACTTGAGGCAGCACAGTTGAGGAGACAGTCACACCAGGCAAAGGGAACAGTGTATGTTACAGGCAACCTGAAACCTCTGCCACCACTTGAACAGCAAAGTCTAACAATTGCCTCTGAGAGGGCCAGAAAAGACTGCACGGCCATTTCCACATATCTCACAGCATGCTGGGGGGCAGGAGGGGAGATGTGCAGGTGTTATGTGCTGTGTGCATGTTCGGTATCACATAATAAAGAATTGCTTTTTACTTATAGCATGACAAGATTAAATAACATTCTGCTATGGATAGCCTGCATCAAACAGCTTCCATCAAGCCTTCATGCTCTGAGTGCATGGATGGGCACAGTGAACAACAAAACCAGGATGTTTTGTGATTCATTCCCTTCAGGTGCAGTTCACAGTCTAAACAGGCCTGGCATAGTCCGAACCTTTCTCTCATCCTGCCGTTTATTCCCCCACCTTCCAGTGTGCCATCACCTTTTTTGGAGGGAGTGAGATTAGATCAGCTCCCCAGACTTGCTGAGTGTGTGACCACATAAATCTGACTGCATGACCAGGAGCAGTGCTGGGGACACCCGGCAGCCAGGACTCACGTCCT